GGGGGAGAGCGTAGGGAAAACACACACGCACACAGGAAAACGGGGGTAGAGAGGGGTGTATACGCGGCGTCGAGAGCAGGTAAGAGCGGAATTCGCGGCGTCCGCACGCACGCCGTGCACACGAGGAGATCGTCAACGGAGGAAGAAAGAAAAAGAACGAAGAGAGAGAGAGAGGGCGACGCGCGATCGATAGCAACGCGCGATAATAAAGTATTTCACGGGAGAGACCGTCGCCTAGCCTCGAAAGAGAGAGAGAGAACACTGGTCACTGCTTCGTTCCTCCTCCGCCACCTTCCTCCTACTCCACCTCCTCCTTCTCTTCCTTCCCCGACGGCACACTGTGCGACACACACCACGTACATACAACGCCACGAGTCTCTTTCTTTCTCTCTCTCTCTCTCTCTCTCTTTCTCTCTCTCTCCCTTCCGCACCTCGCTGCTGCTCCTTTCTCCCTCGCAAGCGGCGGACTTCTCGTGCTCCTTCTTTCTTCCTTTCTCCACCGTCGTCCGAGCGCCTCTCCTGAGTCTCGAAAGATAGAGATAGAGAGAGAGATTCTCCGTCTCTCTCCTTCTCTCGCGTACACGTATCCCGCTGGCTGTCTTCACGCGCTCGCGCACACCACGTATTCACGGCACGCACGCTACGCACGACGGCACCACGACGACCCGCCCTCAAGCGCTCGAATCCTGCGACTAGCAAACGGAAAACCGGAGCCCCCGGAGCTTCTGCTAGAAATCCCAGAGACCCGGCGGTCGCCGTACCCGTTCCACGAGACGAATGCGCGGTACGAGGCGGCACGACGCCGACCGAGTCCGGCCGAGCGCGGTCGCGCCGCCGAAGTGACGCGACGCGGGCCGAGCCCGGCCGAGCGCGGCGATCGCGATCGCGCGGGTTATACGAATTGACGGCCACCTGTAATGGCTGTAATACGAATGAAATTAACAATTGTATATCGTTTAATATATATGGAAAGAGATTAAATCGGGAATAACGAATTGTAAAATTGTATTAAAGGTTTGCTTTAAGTTAAGTAATCTTGTGATTGAACAAATTAATCTAATCGACAGTCATTAATTGCAATTGTAATTAGATAATTTACCTTAATTAAAGCGGGAATGAGTGCATTCTGGATGTTTTTCTAAAACAATTATGCAACTTTTAACGTAATTTTCTGAAAATTAATTTACAAATTTTTAACAAAGTGTTCTACCATACATTTTTCTCATGAAACGAACGTTGCTTTTGTTTGATGAAGTTTAACAGCTGAACAGATCTGAAAATTTTTCTGGAAATTAAAATGGGATGTCGGAGAAGAGAATAGAAGGAAGGAACCATGGCACTGCGATTCAAAGGAAACTTGTGATATAATCTATAAGTAAAAAAGGAAAGAAAATCTCATGATCACATTGTAATAGAAATTGTAACAATTAGATCTATAAATAGAATATTAGAAAAATGTTTAGTATAAACTTCAAATAGAAAAACATTACATATCCTAAAAGATACATAAAAAAGAAAGAGAAAATCCAGAGAAGTAATCTAAATAAATCGATTTTTTGTCAATAATAATTTGTTATATTGTTTTCAAACGATATCTTTACCTGACATATAAATTGCGTCCTAAAGAAATTTAAAAGAATATGTTAATCAATCTTTCATTTACCATTAATTATAAATAAAAAAAGGATTTAAAAGTTGCTAACTTCTAAATTTCTCGGCTATTAAGTGTTCTCAGGAATTTTTGTAAAAATAAAGGATTTGTGATTAATCAAATTGTTAATTGCATACACACACCTGATACAGAAAAATTTTTTTATTTTTCACAAAATATTATTGCACTTATTAGCTTCATAAAAATTGTTACTAAGAAAATATTTTGATTTTTGTTCAACTTCGTATTCTCATCAACATATTTTAATAAATCCGAATCCATTGTATATTTTCTTAACAATTATAACAAATAATTGATAAGAGAAAGTATGTCAGAATTCGATAAAGAGAATAGATTAATTGTAGAGAATAGATTAAAATATTTTAACTCTCTATGTTCTCTCGGATGTGTATATATATTTTTATAAAGAGCGGAATAGAACATCTCTCCTAAATATTATCGGAAATAATTAGTATCATTTGTTCGAACTTCAAATGGCGGATAATAATCTGCACTTGCGACGAAATATGTGGAAGAGAGAAAATCACAATTACATTTTCTGAAGGCATTCTTTATACATATATCTCGCGGATTTTAATTTGTTCTGAGTTTGCAACAAGTCTTTCTTCATTATAACGTCCTCCCCATTGTCCAGCAATCTTATAATTTCTCGGCTCGACTCACATATCTATCCAAGTGACATATCTATCGTTGTGATCCACACATGACGACATCAATAATCACACTCTTACAAAAACGTATTTTACAGTAAAACCCGTGTCATATACATATATATATATATATACACTTTTCTCGATATGATACAAACATTAGTAAATTCTCACGATTTCAATTCTACCTTACCATTTACATTTGTTTTAGTTTGGCAAGTGTTCGTCAAATAGAAAGTGATCAATTGACCATTGGGGGTTAATCGACTTTACATTGAAAAACTCTAACTATAAAAAATTGCATATATTTACAGTTATACCTCAGAGGATCTGAGGATCTAAAAAGTATCCGTCATTTATTATGACATCACATAAGTTCCAAGCTCGAAATGTGTGTATCCGAGAATATATTTTGCCAACACTATATTATCTCGCTATAAAAAAATATTGATCGAAAAATATGTCATTGTGACAAATATACCTGCACGAGGGATATTTCTGCGATAACGCTCGAAATTACGATATCGTAATTACGTTTACCGTTGTGCCTAATTTGCACGTTCTGTTTAGCACCTGGACATTCTGTATAAAGGCATCCTGTGTATTACATATTTAATAATCAACAACCGATTTTCTCGTCGTGGTAAAAATCTCGCCTAATATTAAAACTGCTGAATAATAGATGAAATATCGTCTATTAAATTGCCGGAATTGTTGAACAATCGTAGAATGAAAAAAAAAAGAAGAGCTAAGTTGAGCTAAGAGCTAGATGTCCCTTGCGCGTTTTCGCGTATGTGCAAGGGACGCAAGAATTCACGATCCAAATTCTATCGTGTCTTGTTCGATCGGCTTGAACTCGTAGCCTCCTCGACCGTCCATGTGCAAGTAGTACTAGAAGCAGTAAATAGAAAGTTACGTAATGATAAAGTAATATAAAAATCTCACGTGATAAATTTAAATACGTCTGTTGCAAAATTGTTCAAAAGAAATAGATCGATAGCGATACCTCGTGATGCTTCCAAAGGGAGCGACGATGCGAGACCGTGAACAGCGTGATGTTCTCTTGTCTGCAGTATCTGTACATGGAATCCTCGACGTCGACGCTGACGGCACTCGTGCACTCGTCCAAGATTGCGAATTGCGGTTTATGATAAAACAGCCGAGCCATCTATTTAGAAATAACAATTAAATACTAGCGTCATAGTACAATGCCGACAGTAAAAGTAGATAACGTTAATAGGTAATAATAATAATGATTAAACCATTTCAAGCCTCGACAAGATACAGAGTGCAATTATAAACAAGAATGTTAATTATTTCACGTGATAAATATCCGTCTGGAAAGTGAAGAACAGGAAAAGGGACTCACTGCTATGCGTTGCTTCTCGCCACCCGATAAGACGTCCATCCAATCAGCCACCGCGTCCCAGCCCTGTCTTTCATTGTTGGTCTCCCTGTCCAACAGATGAGTCAATTGCACCAGCTCCAGGTACATCTTGAGCTCCTCGTCGTTAACGTTGCCGCGTCTCTTCATCTCCTCCTTCGTGTGGGGATATATGATCTGATCTCTCAATGTGCCCAACGTCATGTAAGGCCGTTGCGGTATGTAGAAGAGCTTACCGCGCGGTGGTTTCGTAATGGTACCAGACCAGATCGGCCACAGCTAAACATTACAATTTGTACAATCAACATGGGCAACATGATCACTGGGTCAAAATCACTGCACCAAGCATTATTCGTGTACACATGTGTAACAAAATTTTTAAATCATCATTCCCTATCAGAGTTAATTCGATATCTAGAAAAATATTCAAGATAACGATTTAATCGATATTGTAATGAAATCAGTTCACAAAGACATTGATAATTGAATACGAGCGATAAGAGCTAGAACGATATAGATAACAGAGTACATACTTCACCGAGAATCCTAAACATGGAGCTCTTGCCGCAACCGTTCGGGCCGCACACCAGTACGTTCACTCCCGACTTCACCTCGAAGGACATCTCCTTGATGAGCACGTCTCCGTTCGGCGTCACCAGGGGTACATTATCGAATCGTATGATGTTGTCGCGCGGCACGATCCTGCCGCTACCAGGACGACCGATCACGTTGTCCTTGTAATCCGAGACCATCGTTCTCTCGTATTTCCCGGCGTTCAGATCGTCGAGGACCATCTTGAGCTCGGTGACCCGGGCCGTGAATCCCGCCAGCCGCGTCAATTCCCTGCCGGCCAGCACCAATCGGCCGACCGCCTCGGCCAGCTTCACCAGCATCCGGCCGTACGTGTAGTACGATCTGAATCTGTGATCGGGCGGGCCGGAGAGTATGGGGTGGTTCTTCTGGAAGAAGGGTATGCTCACCGCGTAGAAGCCGACCACAGTGCCGAAATCTGAAAGAGAGACAGCGACGAATTAGTATTAGAAAGTACAAGCTGTTAAGTCTTTATGTGTACGAGGCTAGAAATCGCTCCGAGATCTCGAAAGAAAAAAATTAACAAGTTTAAACAATTCGATCAATTAATACACAATTAGTTAACACTTTCTTAGTCCGAGATCTCGGAACAATTTCTAACATCGTGGATACAAGGCTTTAGATATAGCGCGCAACACATGTTGTTAACATGACAGTTATCGCCACAATGTAAATCGCGTCTTACATTTTCCAACGAAATTATCTATGACGCCCATCACGACTCTAAATTCCAAGAACTTGCGAAGATGAGTCACCTATAACAACAACAAAAAAACGCAAAAAATAAGTTACATACTTGATAAATGCACAGAAATAATATTCCTCGCTAGAAATAATTGATCGATTCGACCAATTTTTGGCTGAATTCACCGGAAACACTCACGAGTTTGTGGAAGCTAGTTAACAGCGTCAATTTCTCTCTGTTATTTCCACCATAAAAGGCTATTTCTTCCGAATTGACGATCAATCTTGAATTGATATGACGGTACTCCCCTTCCAGTCGTTGCTCTTTGACCGTCATTGTTCCGATCGGCTTGCGAATGTGAGTTAAAAAGGCACCAGCTACTACCAGGTACGAAAGTATCAAAAGTGGCGTCTAGAAGAAGGTAGCATTACATTAGAGATAAAAAAAATATCGTAAAATGTTTATGCTACACGCACCTGCCCGCCAAGAGTGGATGTCAATCTATAAACGTAAAGAATGATGTCTAGCACAGGCTTCGCTATGTTGCTGTAAAGATCCGTACAGCTTTCGCAGAATTTATCGACGTCTGTAGTTAACAGCTGATCCGGATTCGCAATTCGAGTATCCAGATTACTCATTTTGTAATAGGTAAATCCTCTGCGAAAAAAAAAGAGAGAGAAATTGATTCTTACATATTCATATTGTGTACCTTGACATTTTCTCTGTGTGTCTTTTAAATGTAAATAAAACTTATTTCAATCATGAATTATTTAAGCGGAAACTTGTGCTACCAATATGTCAATGACGAGCCAAATATCTTGCAAAGTTATGCGTAATATGCAAACTCGCATCGATAATAAATGCATCAATTACAGAACTGTTTAATAAATAAGAAACTTGAATGCTTCGGACATTGACACAAATAGAACCGAATACAATCGAAATTAATAAAGAAATACGAACCAGTTACTTACTTAAGATAATGATCCAGCAAATAACGCGTGATATTTGTACGCAACCTCAATTTCATTTCGCTTATACCATACTTCAGTATGTTGTTCACGATTGATATCTAAATTAATACAATCACACGATACATTAACATGTGTTATCAACTCTTTTTCTTAATGAAAAAAAAAAACCGTTCTAAGTGGAAAGACCACTTCCACTACCATGCGATATGAGTAACCTGTAAGTGCCAGTAAGATATAGACTGTACCAATGTGGAATTTTACTTACCATCGGTATCACGCTGAGCAGAGTCAGCAAATGCCGCTTGAACAACGGGCCGTCCATGTTGACGACCGACCTGAGAGCACACGAAGATTCTACAGTTAGGCCAGACAAAAACTTTTTCCACCGACACTCCTAATCTGCACGATACGCTGCACGTACGTTTCTATCAGAGTACCCTCCTTGATGAGCCACAGGTCGCACAGGGTCCTGCCGACCAGGGCGGTCGCCACCAGGAGTACGAAGCCAAACTCCGGCGACAGCACGCCGGGGACGCCGATCTTGAGCAGCTGACAGAGCCGGCGGAAGAAGATGACGTTGACCTGTGCCTTGGGGCCCTTCGGCTTCTCCTGCGGATACACACACACACACACAATTTCAATGAAATCTCGGTCCATGTATATATCTCCACGCTGGAATTTCCTGGGCGTTCCATCGCGAATTCTTACCTCCTTGATAACATACTGAATGTCATTGCCAATCGGCCACTGGTTGTTTCTGCAAGCACACAGGCGTTACTCAGCGCGTAACTCGCGGGGGGAACACGAGGCGATCGCGAGAGCCGACGATTGACGCGCAATAAAAGTCTATACCGCACTTACTTGATCTTCTGCGTCCGCCTCCTGCTGCGGTTCCGCAGTATCCAGACGAGCGTGCCGACCGCGACCGCGCCGGCCAGCGTGCGTCTGGTGGCGAATTTGCTGAGGGCCGGTGCCATGATCTCGGTGTCCTCCTCCAGGCTCGCGTGCGCGCGTGTGCGTTACCAGCTGCACTGCACCGTCCTGGTGGCGCGACGGCTGAACGACTATCGCGCGTGCCCTTTGGAGCATAAAGCCAGCAGCGGCAGGCAGGCACGACGGACGTAGCGGATGAGTCGTGCATACGCCGTGCCGCCGAGATAGTGGTGGCGGCGAGACGACGACGACGACGACGACGGCCGTCGGGTGGGAGAAGGAGAAAGAGAGAGGCCAAACGGCGCGGGCGCTCACCGCCGCGCCGCGCCGAGCCGCCTGGGCCGTCGAGCGGGGCCGCCTCCGTTGACTCAATCGGCGGCATTCTGCGTGGACTTTCTTGCGATCACGTAATAGCGGAGTATGTCGCGCTATTGTATACGTAACAGCTGCGAGGGGGAGGGGGGGGACGAAACACGTACGTATGTCGTATACCCGCGTGTGCCAGCTCTTTCCTCCTCCCTCCTTCCCCCCTCCCTCCCTCCTGCCCCTCTTCCGCAAGGCGCAAATCTGCGGATGCAGTCAGCCGCGTTCCTTCTCTCTTTCTCTCCTTCTCCTTCCCCCCCCCCCCCCCGTCCGAAATCGCGGTGCCGCCGACAAGAGTGCAAAATACAAAGTATACGCGCTCCGCGGCCTGCGTACTCTCGATCAGATTGCAAATATCCGCCGCGGGTTCGATACACGCTAAAAAGCATATATATGTAAAGTAATATATATTATTACATATACGCGCAGCTGTTGCGCAGCGAGATGTATATATGCGTGCCCGCGGTCTCCCCGCGAAGTGGGATTTAATTCACGGGCCTGTTTGTTATGCTTTCGGGAGCTGGTTTCTCCATTATCTCGGTCAAATTATAATCAAATGCGAGAAATCGCTTCCTGCGCGCTCGTTGTTTATCACGCTCCCGAATAATGCTCCCGGACTCTCGGTATATATATCGCTGTATATACGCATAACGTGTTAAAAGTATACATATGTACACACCGCTGCACATGTGCGTGTATATATATCTACTTTTTATCACTTGTAAACTTTTTATCATTTATATCGTGGGACTCTCGATTCAAATGCAGAGTAAATGTATAGAAGCTGGAATTATAATAAATGCGTGATTCTAGACCACAAAAAAAGATGAATATTAAATATGTTATTGTGTTTATGCACACATCCATTTCCCACAGAATATATAACGTAATATATATTGTTTTGCTGACAAGCAAATCGCGAGTAATATTATTGCAGCAGAGACGTTACGGTTTAATGAGATCTTACTGTATACAGGATAGGTATTCCGATGACTAATATAATCATTCTCAAGCGCATCTAGCACGAAATCGCCAAGAAACTTCTTCATCTTTTTAAGATCTTCAGTCTTTTTACATGAAGATCGATCATTTATATGATTGGCAATGAGTGATCGAACTGTAAAACAGAACGATTAAAAAACCGTCAAAGGAATTCCTAATTTTCTAACCGAAACGGACCGCGATTTCACGGCTCATCTTATACACCGTCAAAATATCTTGACATTTTATCGCGACCGATTGGTTACGCAAATAGGGACAAAAGTCTCCGACCTCGAGCTGGTCCTCGTTAATGTATTCTTGATCTCCCAGCTTTCGAAATTTGACGAAGACAATTTAAGTCGCGCTTCCACAAAGTATCGATCGATATATGTATACCGCGGGACATCCAGTAGATCACATTCCCCGACGTGGAAAATCGCATGTCGTTATCCTCCCCCCCACCTCCCTCCTCCGAGAGGCCTGACAAACACGTCACCTTGAAATATATGTCTACATTTTTTGCGACTCCGTTAATTGTCGGACTTTTTAGAAAGAAAAGAAAAATCGACGGAGTACTAATTTTTAACATTAAATAGATAAAAACTAAATGTAACGGATATTGGAATAAATCAAGGATATATAATGAACTGCGTGGAACTTTTAACTGCCTGTTTTTATCTATTTAATGTTAATTGAAGAGTCATTACCATTTAATTACTAATTAAGTCTTTAAAAACGTCTCGAATCATCGGATTTTTTTTTTTTTTTTTTTCATTTTAATAGCAAGTGCACACCGTTTCATTTTCCATGCCTTTCGTTCGTGTTTCTTTTCCTCGCTTCTGCGGAGCGAGAAAATCGCGAAAGGTACTGCACGTTGATTTTGATGCGCGAAGGTCCTCGTGAATGAAAGTAACGAAGCAGCGACTCCGACTGGCGATGTCATGATGTGTCGCTGATTTCGAATGTCGCGTGACGTGCCTCATCCAATGACGGATTCGCGTGTATTTCAATGATAAGATGGCTGTCCCTCGATGCACTTCCTCTCCCCCCCCCCCTCTGTACCCCTTTCTCAACCTTTTTTCACTTACGTTTGTGAAGAGATTGCCCTCCTTACGTTTCTTATCAACCTAAGTTTTCTACAAAATTTTTCTGCGGAATTTTAAATTACGACGTGCGCGAAGCGCGCATAAAAGTGAGGGGTGGGGGGGGGGAATTTAATTGCTTTTTTGTCGATTTTTTGAAAGTTCAATTAGATACGCGTGCGTATTCCGGGAATCTGTAATTGCAGGGGACGGCAGAGAAGAGGAGAACGCAATAAAGACGCGGAGCAGTAAAAACAAAAGTGGAAGTTCCCTCTTTTTCATCTTCCGCACTTTCCTTATTATTTCCTCTTTACCTTTTTCCCTTCCTTCGCCGTTTCGATCTGAAGATGTAGAATGTTAATAAAGTCATGCATGTAAAGTATATGCACATAGACACAATTTGTATGTATCTACAAAATCGAATTTTTGCCTAATTTTCTGCAAGTTAAATGCACAAATTAATACATATACATGACTTTTGTACTTTGCATCCACGCGCAGTATTAAATTTTCTGCATTTCAAATCTAAACATAAATTATAAACGTCGGAGAGGACAAAAAAAAAAGAAGCGATAAAATAGAACAGGTATAGATTCAGTTGCGAAACAAGAAAACACTTGATGCACATTGTCGCGAGAACGATGCAAAGTACAAGGATGACGCTGCGAAAAACCGTGTATTTACGGAAATGACATCGTGGATAAATATCATGCGACGTTGAGTCAATCCCTCTTCGACGTAGACGGTGCAGCGTCGCGACTCGCGACAGAAGCGGAGAATCGCTTGAGGCGAACAGTAACGATGACGAAATTATACGAACGACGAACTACGATTAATTTAATTGGCGATTAATTCATCGGGCAATATACCCGTGCTATCCTGCGGCCGAGAGGAAGAAATGATACGTCTGTAGACATCGATTCGATCGTTTCTCTCTGGATAACCTGGATAGAATTGTCAATCTTTTGTTATTCAACGTGTGGGGAAGAAAATAGAATTAGTGACATCGAACTGTATAATTAGAAATTTTGCTTCAAGCGATTCTGCCAATTGAATTGATCCGATCGATGTTAATCGGGGATTAACATATCAAGCGATACTGTGCTATTTTATACTATATGATAGATACATAGATGGAATTAAATTTTTTTGAAATATGGAGAAGAGTAGATTAGAGACAGCGAATTGTATAATTGGAAATTTTGCTTCAAGCAATTCTGCCGGTTGAATTGATCACCGATTAAGAACTAACTTTCCAGATAGCACATAGGTAGAGTTCAAAGAGAATTCATATATTCAGTTAAGCGGAAATTTTTAAGAATTTATGGAAACAAAGAAACCAAGAACTCAAAAAGAGAGATTTGAAAAAGAGAGAGGTAGAAGAATTAGAAGATACAGACAATATATAAAAATTTAACGGATATAATAAAGAAAAATGTAATAAGATTAGATTATATAAGAAATGTTAAGAATGTATATATAACGTTTTATATAAGTTAAGAAGGATATTTTGTAAATCAAGTCCCTTCGATGAAAGTAATAAGCTGAGATAATAAATTCTATTCTATTCACTCATATGTCATCAATTTTGAGTTTATTTTTAGCTGGAAAAAGAATTATTTTTGTATCTGAAAATGAACTCAGAATTGATGACTGAGTTCTTTTTAAACTCTCCGTGCTATCTGGGTTATCAGATGATATCTATATTATCTATAAAAAAATATCTGTATTATTGATTATTAATATATACTAAATATATTATTAATTCTTAATTTTTAATTACCTAACATATGGAAAAAAAAGATTGGATCAGGGAAATCAGGCAATTGAAAATTTTCCTTTAAGCCATTTTGCCGATCGAATACGCGAAAGACAAAAAGTCGACAATTAATTCAAACGGTGATCAACTTACAAACGTCACGCAGTATCGTAATATCGTATTATGAAAACGGTGTGACTACAATCCGGTGATAATGAATGGCAATCGTAACGCGATATTACGCATTTATAATGCCGAAGGTATTATTTATAAAGTAGCGCGTTGCATCAGAAATAACGCATCGTTAACTCGCCGATTTTCTGCTAAGAATCGACAAGAAAAAACAAACGAGAATATTGGTATGCTTTTTGTTGAGAAATAGAAATACAATGTTTCGCGGTTAAATTTGTTAAGGTCCGTCTACAATGGAAATAAGCAGTAATAAGTAAGGAGTAGAGTATAAACGGATGTAAATTATTTACTCCCTTCTTATCTACAACGGCAGAAGTAATAACTCGATAGTTATTCGATAGCTCACAGTTTGACATGTTGCCGCCACATTTGACAAATGATAAATATTATATTGTCGATAAATATAATTTTGATTGAAATAAATTATGTTGAACATAACTGAACTGGATCATGTAACCTTATTTTTGCTGAAATAGCATAAAATATTACGACTGCAATATTGCATGTTGAAAAGAAAAAGATTAAATTCTCGTCGGCGATAACAGTATCGGCAATTATATTTTTCGCGTGCGTTTTGTCTCAGTATTTGTACATGTCTCTGACCGGCTCATGGCAGTAAAGCAGTAAGCAGTAGGAAATGGGAATGAACCATTTCGCTTACTACCAGTGTTACGCTTTATGCCATCTCTTACTTCACTACCGTATAATCTTACTACCTCCATTGTAGATTGGCCTTTAATGACTGAGATTGCTGCATGCTTAAGCGATAAGATAAATCGGTGCACTTCTCTCTTTTTTTTCGTCCGGAGAGACGAGATTTCGGTGCCAAATGAAGAATCG